ACATACAAACACATATGCAAACGTACATACAAACAAACAAACAAAACATACAAAATTTGACAGAACTTAACTTGATTTATGATTGTGTGTGTGTGTGTGTGTGTGTGTGTGTGTGTGTGTGTGTGTGTGTGTGTGTGTGTGTGTGTGTAGGTTGTTTGTATAGGCAGGCTTGCGTATTCAGCCATCAGTTTATCTTTACATTTGTTATTATATCATCTCCACCCTCATCATCATTATCATTACCATCATCAGCATCGTCGTCATCATCTTCTTCTTCGTCATCTTCTTCTTCGTCATCTTCTTCATCGTCATCTTCTTGTTCTTCGTCATCTTCTTTTTCTTCGTCATCGTCAACTCCTTCTTCGTCATCATCATTTTCTTCTTCGTCATCTTCTTCTTCGTCATCATCTTCTTCTTCTTTTTCATCATCTTCTTCTTCTTCGTCATCATCATCTTCCTCTTCATCATCATCGCCATCTCCAGTTCCAACTTGGAAAACAGCAGCAGCTACAATAGGAGAGCCTTGCCAAGATCGTCATCGTCCACTGCTCGCGGGTGCCTTTTCACCAACTTTGAAGATGTGCAGGTACTGATGATGATGATTTGGATGATGATGATGGTGATTGTGATGATGATTGTGATGATGATGGTGATTGTGATGATAGTAGTGATTATTATTGTTGCTATTACTACTAATAAAAATAATTTCCTAACACTATTCACTAATCATCAAGCTGACGGACGAAGAAAGGGTGTATCTAAACGCCGCGGCATTGGGGGATGTGCCGATACTGAGGCAATCTTTGGAGGACATTGATGTACCGCTTAATTTGAACTGCGTCGACTACATGGGCAGATCTGCGCTACACCTGGCAGTTGACAACGACAACATGGAGTCGATCGAGTTGTTGCTGGATCGTCTGCAGTTTGAATGTCTCGAGGAATCTCTATTGCATGCCATCAGTAAGGTCTGCAGTTGCTGGTAACGGTGATTCTTTGTTTGTATGGTTGTTTGTATACATATACAAACGTTTATACAAAAAATTGCGCATACATACACACACATAACGTAAAGATATAATTTGCGATTACAACTCGAAAACAAGTGTACATTCCTACAGACACATACAAGCAATCAAACACACATACTAACATACATACAAACACACGTACAAACAAACATACATACATACATACATACATACAAACAAAGAAACACAGGCACAAACATACAAACATTCACAGGGTTCAACAAAAATAGTCCGAACGATAATCGAGCACCCGAGCTATATAGCAGGAGAGGAATCGTTAAAGAAACGCCACAAGGACCCATTTTTCAGAACCGACGAAAAAAGTCAATTCTCGCCCGACATCACCCCTCTAATTCTGGCAGCCCACTACAACAACCACGAAATCATTCAGATGTTTTTAAGTAGGAATCACACCATCGTCAAGCCCCACCACATCTCGTGTAGGTGCTCCGAGTGCGTTACAAAAAGGGGCTACGACTCCCTTAAGAGATCGAGATCGAGGTTGGTGTCTCGTTTCGTTTTGTTTCGTCTCGTTTCGTTTACTTTAATTTGTTTAAATTTATTCAGTTTGGTAATGACTGCAAAAGATATTATTTTTTCGTATCGGTTTCAATGTGAACGTGAAAAGTTACGGCCGTCATTTCATCAAAATGTAGATTAAATTAAAATGGGACCTATTTTTTGGAAGGTTAAACGCTTATAGGGCACTGGCAAGCCCCGCCTACATGGCTCTATCAAGCCCTGACCCAATTATGACGACCTTTGAGTTGAGGCAAGAAATGAAAAAATTGGCCCAGGTTGAGAAAGAGTTCAAGGTTAGCGTTGCAAAAATAATAAAACGATCTGTCAATCTATCCATCTCCCATCCATCCATCATTTCATCCATCTATCTATTCATCTATCCTTCCATTCATTCATCTTTCCATTCATCCATCTATCCACTAACAACAGAGCGAGTACCTCAGTTTGGTTGAGCAGTGCATGGACTTTGCGTGCGAGCTGATGGATTTGTGTAGGGGCACTCAGGAGGTCGAGGCCGTTCTGAGTGAGGGTAGCCAAGAAAATGGGTCGCGAGACCCTCTGGCTCGTTTGAAAATGGCGATGCAGTATGAAGAGAAGAAAGTAAGTGTCTGTGTATGTCTGTGTATATGTATGTTTGTGTGTCAGTTTGTTTGTTTGTGTCTGTGTATGTCTGTGTATCTGTTTGTGTGTCAGTTTGTTTGTTTGTGTGTGCGTGTGTGTGTGCCAGTTTGTTTGTTTGTGTGTGCGTGTGTGTGTGTGTGTGTACAGGATCTACTATTCGAAGCGATATTTTTTAGCCGTATGTTTTTTTTGTGTGTACGTATGTCTGCTTGTTATTATTACTCTACAAGTTTCTTTTTATAAATTTTAACTCTTCATAACAAATAATTGCATGCGCTGTAAACTTATATGGAGACCAAATGGATTGTACTTACGGTTATAGTGAAATATTTAAACATGTTGGTGATCTAGTTTACATGTTCATACAATTTTTTACAAAATTACTACTTCTGTAACTTTTTTGGTTTGTAGTTAGCGTTTTGCTTTGATTGTTGTTCTTGTCGACGAAAACGCTGATTTTTACTTTACGGTTACTGTATATGAACTTTTCATCGCATGCTTGGCTGCTTGCAAAACGATTTTCTGTATCTATAGGTATTGTCGAGTTGCATGTTTTGTATGTGTGTTTGTTTGCGCGTGTGTATGTGTGTGTTGGTGAGTGTGTGTATGGGTTTGTGTGAGTGTGTGTATGTGTGTGTGTGTTGGTGAATGTGTGTATGTATGTGTGTGTGTGTGTGTATGTATTGGTGAGTGTGTGTGTGTGTGTTGGTGAATGTGTGTGTGTGTGTGTGTATGTGTTGGTGAGTGTGTGTGTGTTGGTGAATGTGTGTATGTATGTGTGTGTGTGTGTGTGTTTGCGTGTATGTATGAGTGTGTGTGTTGGTGTGTGTTTGTGTTGGTAAGTGTAGTGTGTGTGTGTGTATGTATGTATGTTTTTTCCAAATTTTTCCTTTCTGTTTGCGTATTCAATATTAAGCTTCCTGATTTTTAATGGATTTCCAGTTCACACGTGTGTTTTCGCAAACAATAGAAGACAGAATTTTTTAAAATATTAATTATAAAAATAATTATAATAATAAAATAATAATATAATAATGATAATAATAATAATGTCAATAGCAATTAAAATAATAATAGAATAATAATGGAAAGCCATTAATTATGCAAGCACACGAGTTTCAGTAGCGGGAATAAAATAGGTGTTAGTATGTTTGTTCATGTGCTTCGGTGTGTGTGTGTGTGTGTGTGTGCGTGTGTGTGTGGTGTGTGCGTGGTGTGTGCGTGTGTGTGTGCGTGTGTGTGTGTGCGTGTGTGTGTGGTGTGTGGTGTGTTAATGAAATGTGTGAGAAGTATAAACTTCAATGAGTAATCGACGAAAATAGATGATGGACTGACAAAAAAAAACTCATTTTTTATCTCCTTTGCATCATCTCTCATTTACTCTTTCTTTTTTATTACCTTTTTCTTTCTCTCTCTCTTTCTTTCTCTCTCTCTCTCTTTTTCTCTTTCTTTCTCTCTCTCTCTTTCTCTGGTTTCCTGACCGAACCTACCTACTGTCTACAATAAATTATACCGTTCTAAAGATTTACAAGAATCTCGTGCTGATAGTACAAACATGGGAAATTATCTACAAAGAACATGTAATAGTAAAACATGCGCCGACCATGTCGCTACTTCTACTACTGCTGCTGCTACTAAAGTAACTGCTACTACTACTAGTAGTAACTTCACTACAACTACCGCTGAAAATGCTACTACTGCTACTTTTGCTGCTGCTACCACTGATACTGCTGTTGCAAAACTATTAATCCGATAATAATTATCATCCCGCAGTAAACGATTTAAAATTTTGAAAAATATCGATAATTATAAATATTTATAATTAAATACGAATAAATATTAATATTTTCAAATAATTATAAATAATTACGACAAAAAAATTTTTCAGTTTGTGGCCCACCCAAACTGCCAGCAACACCTCACGAGCATCTGGTACGGACCAGAAACGGGTTTCATGCAATCATTGACACTATGGAAAAAATCTCTGATGTGGGTGGTCTGCGTCCCTCTTGTCCCCGTCTTCTGCTTTGTCTACATTCTATCGCCCGATAACAAGGTAGGTGAGTTCGTATGCTGGTTTGTGTGTGTGTGTGTGTGTGTGTACGTACGTCAAATTTTCATCCAATCACAGATAGGGAACGCGATGCGATGCCCGGCTTCCAAGTTCATCACCCACACTTTATCCCATGTCTGTTTTCTCATTCTTTTGGCTGCTGCCACTTTCCGATTGGATGAAAAATTTTTGCCCATACCCTCAACTCGATCGTCGACCAGTGATTGGTTTGAAAATAGGTCACTGGGTCAGTTTGGCGACCAATCACGTTTCTTGAATGGTGAGATGAGCCATGCTGAGATTGTCGAAAGCTTGTTGAAAGGAACTTTCAGGCCTGCAAATATTCTCATCACTAATGTCCAGATTTGTCTCATGTTCTGGGTCCTAGGTCAGTCGGTGTATCATTTTTTTTAGTAGATATCGTTTATAACTGATTCATTTTTAAATTAGTTCGTCTATTGGTTCATTCATTGGTTCGTTCGTTCGTTCATTCGTTCGTTTGTTCGTTTATCCATTAATCCATGCGTTCATTTATTTATTCATTCATTTGCTTGTTCGTTCGTTCGTTCGTTCATTCATTCATTCACCCACCATCAATTCACCAACCAGGATTGCTATGGATGGAATGCAAGCAAATGCACACGTCTGGTCTGCGCATCTACCTGCTGGACGACTACAACATCATCGACTTCATCGTCCTCTCGCTATACCTGGCCAGTTACACGCTCAGGTTCCTGGTGGACCACCGAATAAAATCAGTGGATAAGTGGTACAACCAGGGTACCTCCAGGGCCCGCCATGCCCTCCTCGCTAACGACACCAAACTCTATGATAGTATCAAAAATGAGATTTTTAGCGATCCGCTAAGCTATTTTATGAATGCCTGTTAGTATGCTGTGTTGTATTGTCCTAATATTAACAATACTACCAATTACAATTACTACCACTACTACTACTACTACTACTGCTGCTAGTACTTCTACTACTACTACTACTGCTGCTGCTGCTGCTGCTGCTGCTACTACTACTACTACAAACAACTACGCAGCTCGTTTTTACTGGAAGCCAAACGACCCAGAGATAGTGTCTGATGTGTTGTTCGCTGTGGCGAACGTGGTGAGCATAGCGAGAACAACCTACCTCATGCCCGCCTTTGAAGTTCTTGGACCCCTTCAAATTTCTCTAGGGAGGATGATCGGCGATATCACCAGATTTCTAGTCTTATTTACTTTGGTTTGTAAGAATGGATTGTTTTTGTTTTGTGAGATGGTGTGGTGGGTGAGGCGCTTGACTCTGTTTTTGCTAGAAAAGAGTTATTACTAATATTATTAATATGTGTGCCTATGATGTATTACGGCAGTAATTTTTTTCCCACCAATTATTACTTTTACGGTATTTCAAAATAAAATAATAATAATTAATTCATCGATTTGGCTTCTAGGTGTTGCTAGCATTCATGGTGGGTATACATAATTTGTACTGGTACTACGGTTCTCAGACATTCCTCGTCAACAAGGACGGTGAGCAGAAACTCATGCACACGTCAGAGGCATTCCAAGGGTATGCGTCTTTCATTTTTGGCGGTTAAAACACACAAAAAAATGGCCCAAAATTATAATTTTAATTTTACAACTCAAAATTTCAATTTTTTTAGAAATTAGCGTATTTATTTTAAGGAATTATTTTGTAATTAAAATGAAATTCTAGGATGCCACGGACGCTACTGAGCTTATTCTGGTCGATGTTTGGTCTGGTTAGCGTTGATAGCGTCGAAATAAAGCATCCAAGCAAGGAGAAGGGTGAGAAGTTCGTGGGGAGTTTCCCACCCGGAAGCCACGCGACGTCCATTGTGGAGGGAGTGGGTCATTTTTTGTTCGCCCTCTACCACGTGGCCATCATCATCGTCCTCACCAACATGCTGATTGCAATGATGAGTCACTCCTTCGAAGCTATACAGGTCTTTCTTGCGGTGGAGAAATAATTTCAGATTTACAAAAGTTATAAAATGACTCAGATAAAATGACTTATTCATCTTTTTAAAATAAAATACAATAAAATAATTCTTTGTTGAAATTGGAGAAAAGTTTTTATTTTCCTCACCAGGGTGACTGCGACGTCGAGTGGAAATTCGCGCGAACGCGTCTCTGGGTGAACTACATCGACGAAGGCAACACCCTCCCCGTTCCATTCAACATGATCCCCACCCCCAAGTCCCTGGCTTACATTTGGCAGTGGGTCAAAGAACTTTTTAAAAGCCAGCGGGAGTTGATGCTGAAAGAACTGGGCGAGGCTGCCAAGAAACAAACTTTTATTAAAGTGTTTTTTGAGTATTTTGATGAAATTTTTAAAAATTCTTCAAAAAAAAGTATATTAAGTTATAACTATTTAATTATATACTAAAATTTATTGCGAAATAGTCCCGGCGGGAAATGGTCTGTCAGAGTTTGAGCATTGAATCACCAGACACAACTTACTCAGACATCCTCCAAAGGTTAGTTCGGAGGTATCTCTTCAAGCTAGAGAGGCTGAAAGAAGAAGGTAGCTATTCACTTTTTACATCTTATTATGAATAATTATTTCACAATAATTATTAAATATTTTAAAATTATAGATTTTTATTTGTATATTCGAAGGGAAAGATAAAGCTGGGATAGGCTCTGAAGCAGCTCAGCCTCAATCAGCTGACATGTTCAACCAGCCTGAACCCGCCTTTGCTGGTTATAATCTTTTAAATTTCAATTAATGAAAACTAAAAAAATGTTGAAATAATTTATTTATTTTATTTAGTGAATAGTTATAGAATTTTGTTCATTAAATTGTTGGGAGTTGAAATTGTTTAAAACTTTTAAAGACGAAGCCGACGAATCAGATTTGAGTCCCTTTTCGGCTGAGAGTTTGGCCAGGGAGAGCAACCAGGACACTTATCCGAAACCAACTCTGACTGCCAGCACGACAACAACTCAGCTGAGCGCCTGCGGTAGCAACCAACAACTTCAAAACGCCAATCCACCAAGATATGAGACCCACTCTAACTACCAACAACCACAAGAACACGACGCCTCTCAAATCAGATCGCCTGCAGCCAACTCACCACAGCCTATCAACGATTTCAGACTCAGTTTATGCCAACCATCAACTGCAACCGCATCGCTTACAACCACATCAGCCACAACAACTCCTGCAACTACAAAACAACCGACTTCAATTTTACGATCACGCTACTCCAACCAGTGCAGGATGAGACGCACATCTCTACTTCCGGGGTCCAACCAACCGCCATCAGGTCAAAACCCAGGCGCCCCCACAGCCAACACGGTCGTCCAACTCATCTCACTACCGCAAATTGACGCCATACAACGAAATTTAAAACTCCTGGACGTCAGACTGCAGCACGTGCAAGCCAGCGCAAAACAGGAAGACCATTCGAGACAGGATATTGACCACATAAGAATGGTCATGTCCGAGAACCAGAAAGCCCTTTCAACGGTCGTCACCGTTCTCTCCTCCATCCAGGAGGAGGTTCGAACGCTCAGTGTGGCTTTCAATCGCCAGCAGCAGCAGCACATTCAGTTCGGTCTTCAGTTTCCGTTACTCACGAAAACAAAATCGACTCAAGAAAAACAGTGCGGTAACGCCAACACCGCTAACTTCGGTAATACCGACAAGACGGTTCCAGATAATCAGACGAGTTATACGGCGCCTGTACACACATCATCATCGTCGTCGTCGTCGTTGTTTTACTTCTCAAATCCATTCTCTACAACCGCAACAGCGGCGCAAAATAACACATCCCTAACTAATCGCCCGCCTTCACTGGCCGTCACATCGACTTCCGGCAAATTAAATTTCCCGCGCGAAAAAAGACGGGCAAGCTTGAGAGCGGAAAAAACTTTGATGTAATAGTTTCAGTAGACCAAAAACTCTATTTAATTTATTTCCGACTGAAATTTTTTTAATATTTTTTATAAAAAAAGAAAATGAAACGCAAACGATGTTAACCATTGAAAAAATGAATGTTTCTTTATTCTGATAAATCATATAGGACATATATATGTATATATATAAACATATATATGTTGGAAGGAGATATATATATATATATATATATATGTTAATATATATGTTTATATATATATATATGTATGTTTATATATATAGATAGATATATATGTATATATATAGATATATATTCACTCTGGATATATTTGTTAAACAACTATATTTCAGTTACAGAAAATGAACAATGGTAAATCATTACCAGGTGTAGTATGTATCCACATTACACAATAATAATAATAATAATAATTTACTGTAATAATTATTATTATCATTGTTATTATTGTCACCATATGTCGACTGATGATACGAAATAAAGTCTGTTTAATTAAATGTTACCCATTGATTCGATAAGATTATTATTATTATTATTAAAAACATAATTATAATATTATGATATTATTATTATTATAAATTTAACGAATTTTTTGTCAGTTAATAACAATGAATTATTCAATGAAATAATGAGTTAATGAATGAAATAATGAATGAATGAACGAACAAACGAACGAACGAACAAATGAATGATAATAACATCATAAAATCATAAGAATAATAACAATAACAACAACGATAGTAATTAATATAATAATTATTATTATTATTCACTAATACCAATGGGGATTTCAAGAGTTTATCATACATAATGTTCACTATGGTTCAACTGATAATATCATCTGTGAAATAATTATAACTACAATAATTATATATATATATATATATATATTTATAAATACGTGTGTGTGTGTGTATGTGTGTGTGAGTGTGTGTGTATATGTGTGTTTGTGTGTAATATAAAAGCAGAGCATTGTGATTGATCTCGGTGGCACAATTTAACAATATTGACAATTGGTGGGGTTTTTAAAAAAAAATAATTAACCATATAATTGTTTATTAGTTCTTATTATTATTGTTGTTGTTATTATTGTTATTATAACTATATACGTGAATATATAAATAAATAAATCATATATATATATATATATATATATATATATATATATATATATATATGATTTTTTATTACAATCAGACAAATAAATTACCCCAAAAATTTGAATTTATAGTATTTTATAATGAAAAACAAAAAACCGCAACAATAGACAGACAGATAGATAGACAGACAGACAGAGACAGGCAAACAGACAGAGAGAGGTAGACAGACAGACAGAGATAGATACACATAGTTAATGCACAATCAAATGTTTTTACTTCATGACGACAGATGAATGGATTCAAATGGAAGAATGAACGAATGGATGGATGAATTAATGAATGATTGAGAGAGAGAGAGAGAAAGAGAGAGAAAGAAAGAGAGAAAGGTTAAATGATTGAATGATGTTAATCGTAGTGATCCGATGGATTGTACAAACAACAAATGAAAAAAGAATGAATCAAGGAATGAGTGAATGAACGAATAAATGAAGCAAATGAATGAATGAATGAATGAACGAATGAATGATTGGCGCAGTAATACACAGTTGAGCATTAGTATTTTCATTTCTGACTTACATTAAACAGGAAAACGCTTAGAACGATTTTATCGATAAAATTTGAAAAAAATTCTTCTGTAAATACAGAAAAAAACAGAAACAAGAAAAAAATGTTTGTGTGTGTGTTTGTGTGTGTGTTTGTGTGTGCGTGTGTGTGTGCGTGTCGGCTTCATAACCGGATAATAGCGCGAGTAGGAAGAAACTTGGATGGAAAGAAGGAAAAGAAAGAAATATAAATTCTTACTTAACGACAGACTGAAGTTTTTCATTTCTCGTGAAATCAATTTTTTGAAAAATTTTCAAAAAAAACAACAAAAAAAAATGATTCTTCTTCAGGATTTCATCGACAATGAACCCAACAAAACAAAACAAAACAAAAAATTTGGAATTGAAAAAAAAAACAATTTGAACGAAGAAGTTTTTCTAATGTTATTTATTCATTACGATGTCTCGGCTGGTATGGCAAAACTGAGAGAAACAAAATATACATTTAATACAAAACGATTCAACAACAAAATGATTGTATTCAATACAAACAGAAAAAAATACAAACAAAAAATACATTCAAACAAGACCGTTTGTATACTTTCTAACCATCCAACCAAACAAAACCAAACAATACAAAACAAATTGTCAGTGTAAAAAATTAAACAATGAAACAAAAGGCAACAAGTATATAATATATATGTATGTGTGTGTGTGTGTGTGTGCGCGTGTGTGTGTGAACAACTGGAAAATGAAAGCTTCTTTAACGCGTTAACTAACAAGCAATAGAAAATTAATAGAAAACTATTTCTTCTTCAGATGAAAATAAAACAACGGCACATCAACAACAACAACAACAACAACAATATCAATAAGACAACAACAACAACTCAGCCCAAGGTTTTTAAAAACAACAACACAACAACGAGACAATAATTTCTATAAGTCTGTGCGTATCTCTTAATGACTCGGCTGCAAATATCTTCAAAAACTTCATCACAGAAAAAAAACAAATTAACAAACGAACGAACGAACAAGCAGACAAACAAACCATAAAACTACAAAAAATAGAAAACAAAAATCAAAATTCAATTTTACTTCTGATAAACGCAAACAACCACGTCATCGTAAACCTAATTAACATAAATAGATACCTCATTAACATAAACGTAACCTTATTAACATAAACGTAACCTTATTAACATAAACGCAACCTCATTAACAGAAACGTAACCTCATTAACATAAACGCAACCTCATTAACATAAACGCAACCTCATTAACATAAACGCAACCTCATTAACATAAACGTAACCTAATTAATATAGACACAAAACAAAACCATTGGAGAAATGCACAATGTCGGCAGAAGGTCTTTTCTTTAAGACACTATCAATACAGGTATAATAATAGTAATAAAGGTAAATATAATAATAATAATAATATTATTATTATTAATAATTATAAAAATAATAATGATGATGATAATGATTAGATAGAAGAACAATTGTTGCATTCAGTTACCATCGTCAGTATTATCATTTTTATTATTAATCTTATCATCATCATCCTCATCATCGAGGTAAACATCGCCATCGTCATTATCATCATCATGATCATCACACCATTATCTGTATCATCATCATCATCATCATCATCATCATCATCATCATCATCATCATCATCATCATCATCATCAGTATCGATATCTTCTTCTTTCATTTCCTCCTCCTCATCTTCAGCAGCAGAACCAGCATCGTCAACTCATCATCATTTCTTTTCTCATTATTAACGTAACCTTTGTAATCCACATTACAAAAAAAGTATCTAACTGGATATCACGAAACTAACTAGCGACGATGATAAAAATGATGATGATGATATCAATGATGGTGATGATGATAGTAGTTGAATAAAGACAGGGCAAGTAGCGGCAAATAGATTATCATCACCATCATCGTCATCATTATCACCATTATCATCATCATCATCACCACCATCACTATCATTATCATCGCCACCACCACCACTATCAACATCATCATCATCATCATCATCATCGCAGTCGACGTCGTCGTCGTCATCATTCTAGTAACATTACTACCTGGTAAACACTAACTGACAGTAACGATCGAATAACGATAATAAATAAATAATAATAAAGAACTATAATAAAAAAAAATATTAATAATAATTATAATAAAAATAATAATAATAATTATAATAATAACAATAATATTTCTTCTAGTAATTTTATCATTAATAACAATAACATAAGTAACTATATATCTAACAACTGAGTTGAAATAATATTTCAGCAGTTACGATATAAATATATATACATACATATATACATATATATATATATATATATACATATACATACACATACATACATATATATATATATATATATATATATATATATATATATATACATATATATATATATATACATATACATACATAAGTATATATATATACAGTACTGTATGAATTCCAGAGAGTTAGAGGCAAAACGACAAACTTTGAATTGATTAATGCCAACAATTCGGTAGAGTTCATACAATACTGTCTAAAATATGGTCTCCTTCCAACATATATACATATATACATATATATATATATACAATATGTATATACATATATATATATGTATATACCTATGTATAGCAACAACATCTATAATAATAATAATAAAAATAATATTTAACATTACAACAACATCAATAATAACGATTATGTGGTGTGTGATAACACATGAATGATGATGACGATGATA